TTTTCGGTCTTTTGGTGACATTCAATGAAGTCAACAAAGTTTTCCTTATTTGTACAGGTTTCATCATTGATGTAGACATACCTAATTATTTGGGTCATCTACTCTTTATAGGAGGAATCTGGAGTGCAGTCAAACAAAACAGAGTAGTATTTAGCTTCTTTGATATTTGACAATATTTCATTTCTGACTTTCTGCCCAAGTAACTCAATCAACTCATTTTGTATTCAAAGAGAAAAAGAGGATGTTGTAGTTTACTTTACTTTAACAAATGCAATGTGTTCAGCCACTGAAGGATAATAATTGCTTATCAGCTCAATCAAGTTCAGAAAAAATGCCACCGTTTTGTTAACCGATGAGTCTGTTGTGCCCTGAGGGAAAGATTGTTCCTGGCACAGAACAAAATTACATCAACAATCACTTTGTAGATGTCTCTCCACTTTTTAATTTCTCCATTGATAACTCTCTGCAGATCAAAATCCATGGTCTTTCCTTCTTTGAGGTTTTTTTCGAGAGTTTCCCAATCAGAATAGCATCTTTGGTGTTTATTGCTGTTTTCATGTTCAGGAACTCTTCAGTCACAAAATACTTTTGAAATTTCTGAGAAATTGTTGATTTTTGCTGTTGAAAATAATAAACAGCAAAAACAAAACAGTGAATATTTTTTATTGCTGTACAGCAACCAATGGCGAACAAATTTTTCACCATTGGGATGAATTTTTTCATGCCGTTTTGTGCTGAAGTATCGCTTTCTGTTGTCAAAGTCACACAGCGTGTATGGGAAAAATTATCTTCTTTCTTGCTCTAGCCCATGTTTAATCAAAAAGCGTCTTATGTTATCCGTTAGTTTAGACCATGTTGCTGGATCCCAGTATTGAAATTTTTTTCTTAAGGATAGTGGAATATCTGATATTTCTGAATGAAGTTCATTGTAATCCATTTCACCCGGTCAGAAAGCTTGGAACTTCTATACTCTCTTGTTGTTTCTGAAACATTTATGCAAATTTCTTTTTGACTTTGGCTAATGAAAAACTCCTCTTCAATTACTTTTAAGTTATGGTCTGAACTTAAGTCATTAATTTAAACTGTTTGAAAAACTTTATCTGTTGAACTTTTATTAACTTTAATACTAATATCCTTTGAAATAATTTATTTTTCCGTTGCAGAGTTAGTTACCAACCACTTCTTGAAACAATTTTGTAGTTTCTCATCACTTTCAAAGCTGATTTCTTTTCTTCTTAAATTGAGCGCCAGATTTTTTTTTTGTGCGATTCATTATAGAAACTTAATGTTCATTATAGTTGATAGACATATATACATATATATATATATATATATATATATATATATATATATATATATATATATATATATATATATATATATATATATATTATATATATATATATATATATATATATATATATATATATATATATATATATATATATATATATATATATATATATATATATATATATATATATATATATACAGGGGCGGATGCAGGAGTTTTTGAAGTTTGAGATAACTAACTTCCAGACATGGAGCGAACTCAAAACTTTTATATGTTTATAGTTATATTAAATAAGGATACTTTGCATAAAATTGAGATGATAGGAGCCTGGGAACAAAAAAGCCCCAAAATTTTTGCTACACCTGCCCCAAAGTGAGAGCAACAAGTTGATAAAATAATTTTTTTACTATTCTTAACTAAATCTATATTCATCGAGAAATTTTAAAATTCATACAATAATCTCTTAACGTTCAAAAGTTATAGCCACATAAAGTTTGAATCCCCCTTAATTTGAGGGGGTTACAAATTTTATAAGACCATTATTATTGAACGCTAAAAGATTGTTTTACAAAATTAAAAATTTCTCGATGAATATAGATTTAGTTGAGAAAAGTAAAAAACTTATTTTATCAACTTGTTGCTCTCACGTTTGGGGCAGGTGTAGCAAAAATTTTGGAGTTTTTTTTGTTCCCAGGCTCCTATCATTTCAATTTTTTGCAAAGTATCCATATTTGATATAAATATAAACATATAAAAGTTTCGAGTTCGCTCCATGTCTGGAAGTTTGTTATTTCAAACTTCAAAAAATCCTGTATCCGCCCCTGATATATATATATATATATATATATATATATATATATATATATATATATATATATATATATATATATATATATATATATATATATATGTATATATATATATATATATATATATATATATATATATATATATATATATATATATATATATATATATATATATATATATATATATATATATATATATATATATATATGTATTGTTATAATGTTAGAACTAAAAAATTAATAAATAAAATATAATCATAAATAAAGTACGACTGACTAAAAAAAAAAAGATCCTCAAAATCAAAATTAACCCGAGTAAAATGTGTCAAATAGCCAACTATGTTTCTCAAAAAACCTGCTATAACATGAAAATCACCTTCTTTAGGGGAAAGGGGGTGATACACTACTGGATAATCGCCTCAGCTTGTATGTGTAAATAAATATATATTAAGTGTAAAACATAAATGATATATTATTTAGGTTTTACACAAACAAGTTTGTTAATATATCTAGATAAAAGAAATATTTTGTTAGTAGGTGGCTGTACAGCTGCTTACTACCCTATCGGCACATCTAGTTTCTTTTTCGGAAATAAAACCTATATAGGCATGTGTTTTTCACGATCCAGGCGTAAACCAAAAGCACGTGTATATTACGGGCAGTTTTACTAGAGTTTAACACGTGTTTTTTGAGGTTTTAAAGTCAAATTTAAATGTCGCATATTTTTATCAGTGGTTTTACATTCCTAACGGAAAGATATTAAAATATAATACTACGTTTCCATAACGGTGAAACCATTAATATTTTAACTGGTATTTATGGTAAATAGTAATAGTTAATTTCACCGAATAAAAACCATTTAGGATACGTGTTATTCTTTTTGTTTTAGAAGGTTTTAAAAACGCAACAGAAACCAAGCGTAACTATTTTCTGAGTTGTGCCGGCTGGGTAAATAAATTTTTTATAATTAACGTTTTAAATTGAGGCGTCATTGAGGCGTAACGTCACGTAAGAAAATCTTCATTTTCTTTATCTTTAAGACCTAATTTAAACCTCGTTTTTTTACACGTCACGTTACGTCTCAATTAGTAAGACTTTAGTTTAGTGTAACCATTGAGACGTCTCAATTGGTTACGTGTTTATACTTTTTTATACAGATTAAAGATTTATCAATCAATATGTTAAAAAGGAGAGACTTTGCATTTGTAAATTTATACCAAATCACGTTAGTATAAAAAACTATAAATAGAAAAATTGCTTACATTTACGTCAGGTTTTCCCAGATAATTCCTACAAATAATTTTTTTTTTCTAGAAAATTTAATTTATCACCTTTACTAATAGCTGTATTTGTATATATACATATTTTTCATAAATTATCAACGTCGGCAAATTTAGTATGCTTCGTTAAATTTTTAACAAAATATATGCCACAAAGATTCACTTTTTAAGAAACCGCAAGAATTAATAAGTTTAAAATTTTTCTCTAAATACATTGTGGTCTGGTTGCAAAAATACGTTTTACCGAAAACTTAATGGAAGTATAAATCTCATAATAGGAGTAAAAATTTAATACTCAAAAGCGGAGTAAAAATCTCACATTAATCCGTATTGACCAAATTTTAATTAACTGGATTTATAATTAAAAAATTACAAATTTTACTAAAACATGTGAATTTGTGGTGCCCTAGAATTTTCGGGGAAAAAAAGAAAAAAAATCCTATTAGTGTTTTTTTACTGATTCATTACTGGTCCATGTATTAGAAACATTATGAATACACATAAACATTATATTGTGAAACTTAAAATGTAATTCTTAATTTGTATTTCACAAATAGTAAAGATTTTTAGTACAAATAATAAAGAAAACACAATTAGTAAAGAATTTAAAAAAACGCGTAAACAAACGTCAAAGGACCGACTTAAAAAAAATCGATTTCAGCATGTTTTCGTAATGTTTTCGTAGTCGTTTTTACACTGTACGAAAATATTTAACATTTTAAAAATACTCAAACAGATACGTCACGATACTCAAGGATACTCAAAATTTACAGTAACCTTGGGTACGGGCAGTAAATTGTGTTTAATATTTGAATAATTAAAAAACGTTCTAGCCACATTTTTGAACAAGAGTCACGTTTTTGCTAAGAATGTATGTATTTTACAACATTTTAGTAATCGTTCGCAGCCTTTAAATCTCTAGCTTGTTAGATATTATCACATGATTCATAAAATAAGTTTTTATCTTTAATAAATGTAAGAGATGTATAAATATGTATATATAATAAATACATATTTCTATAAATTATACGACAATATATATATATATATATATATATATATATATATATATATATATATATATATATATATATAAATATATATATATATATATAAATATATATATATATATATATATATATATATATATAAATATATATATATATATATATATATATATATATATATATATATATATATATATATATATATTTGTAGGAATATATATATATATATATATATATATATATATATATATATATATATATATATATATATATATATATATATATATATATATATATATATATATATATATATTGTAGGATTTGTGTTAATATTTCCAGTAAGAGTGCTCAATACAGCGTGTTAAATTTAATTGGTAGAGCTAATAATGTAATGAAAACTAAATAATTATTAAGATATATTTCAATTACACAACTAGAAGTTTCACAAAACTTCTATGTAATTGAAATATATATATATATATATATATATATATATATATATATATATATATATATATATATATATATATATATATATATCTGTGTGTAAAAAAGTATAATTTTTCAAATTGTTGATTTGATTTTTTTTCTAAAAATAATATTGTTTTAGGTTTTAAATAATATGATCAATTCTGCTGCAGTAATGATTCATCATAATGAAAGTAACAAAGTTTTAGATGAAACAGGAATAGACGAATCACAAAATTTAACTTGTTACAAAAGAAATTTACCTAATGCACCTGTGTCGGAGTCTCTAGATAAAAGAATGTCTCTTGATAATGCACAAGCAAAAAATGATAGTGGAAATGGAATAAACAAAATTAAATATTACACCTCAAAAAAGAAAAAAGAAAAACGATTACAAACTGGTGTCTCATCTTCTAAATTTTATGTGTCTCATGACTTAAATATTCAGAATGAAGTTGATAAAAATTTTACTAATAAAACAATGTTAAAAAAAGATTTTAAGATTTCAGATAAAAGTAATACTGTTTCTGAAAGTCAGACCCATGTTGCTTTATATAAATTTTTTCCTAGGCACAAAGATGAACTTTTGTTTAAGGATGGAGATCCTATACAAGTTTTGAAAATGAATGATGACTTATGGTATGAAGGTGTTAATTTATTGACTAATAAACAAGGCATATTCCCATGTCGATACGTTGCTGACATTCTGCAAAAAGAAATTATTTCAGGTGTGATTTAATAACTATTTGAAATGATTTATTATTTTTTTAACAAATGATAAATTGATATTTATTTAAGATAAATAATAGTTTTAATAAACATTAACTTGAACATTCTAGAGTATGCAAGTATATGTTTGCATGTTTTGAGGGATTCAGATGCACGATTAGAGGGATCAGATTTTGATCCAGAATAAATTCTTATCATTTAGACAGCTCAGGGTTAATTTTTTATATAACCTTGACCTTAATTGAAAATAATTAGTAAGACTAACCCAAATTTGTTGAAGTTTTCGAATTTCACATATCACATCTATTTTATAAGATTTAGATAATTTTGACCATGACCTCAAGAAAAGAAAAAAAACTTTGAAATAACTTCTATGTTTTTAAGTTGAAACTTCTTTAATAGTCTTGCTAAACTAGACATAAATAAACAAGGGGTGTTGCTTATAAATAGCCAAGGTTTTTTTTTTAATACTTACAATTTTGTTTTAGTTTTAAATTGCTTTGAAAGTAAAAAACAATATTTAATAGCATTTTAATAACACGACATTAGTAAAAATTAAGTTTAAAAATTTAATCATAACCACTTTCAAATTAAATTTTTTTTTTTTTTGACAAAATCTATTTAAGTGCATTAATTATGTATAAATGTATGAATGTTATTTTTATTAAATTTTTTTATTTTTAACTTTATAATTAACTTTAATTTTTTTTAATATTTTAATACTTTTTATGAATAACTTTAATTATTCTTGTATAAATTTTGTTTTACAAAATTTGCTAGTGTAAATCATGCTTTGCAGAATATGAAAATTTTAACATCAAAGCATGGCTTGTAACTTGATTTAAACTTTTCTGAAATAGTTTGAGGTTGTTTTGTAAATTTAAAATATAGATGTAGTAATTTACTAATTTGAACCAAAATTAGTGTCAAATTTTGTAACCCTTTGTGTGTGTGTGTGTGTTTACTAAAAGCAGGCTATTATTTTCTACTGAAAACCAGGCCAAAATTACTAATGTCAAGCTATATTCTTATTTGGTTTTTAAATTTTACTATGTTAAGGATCGCATTAACAAAAATACTAAAAACAACCTGATGGAAAATTAACTTTAACTAAACGCAAAACAAAACTAAGATATAGATTTCTAACTGCAATCACAAAAGCTAATTTAGATTACTTTACCTGATCTCTCCCCTAGTTTATTTGTATAGCAACAATATGGCTTATGACACTTTTTTTTGACAGGGTGAACTAAAAATCTGTGTCTGCCCTATGACATGCATGGGAATCAAATGATTTCATACTGCAACTATGTTTTTTAAAATGTTGTTGTAGCATTTTGGTTTCTTTTAATTCCAAATGCATTTCACAATCACATTTTCTTCCCATTCAAAATGCAAAAGTATCTTTTTTTTTAAACATAGATTAAACTTTTTGAATCATGTTTAAATCATAGTTAAATCATGTTTAATCATAGTTAAATCATGTTTAAATCATAGTTAAACTTTTTGAATCATGTTTTGTTCTTAATTTAAAAAGTTTTTCAAAATCACACTTTTTTTGATTTCAAAAAGCTAATTTATTATTCTTTTAACCAATTGTGTTTTAAATTTTGAACCACATGATCATTATTTATGCCTTAAAAAACATTTGGAACATGATCATTAAAAGATCCTTTGTTTATCAGTAAAAAAAAAAATTTTTTCAAGTAAAACAAAAAGTTAAAGTATATTTATGATGTACATGGAAATTAAAAAAAAATTTTTTTGTATTTAAAAATAAATAAAAAACATTTCAAAAAGTATTCAAAAAGTAAAATACTAATTAATGATCAAGCAAGAGTAATAAATTATTTTTGAACTTTTTTTATTAAATGATTTATTTTTGATTAAATAATTTCTTTTTAGTTAATTTTAGTAATCCTGTTTTTTAATTATATTTTTTAGTTTTTCCCCCACAATTGAGAAAAAATCTCAAAAAAATTTAAAATACCCTTTACTGATAATCATAGCAGACAACACGAGTAAGACATAAACAAGGCTGTTGCAGAAAGTGCGTGCAGTTGAATGCCTTGTCTGTCCATGCATAAAGTATTTTCTTAAAACAACTTGATCGCGGCAGTTTCCATGTTTTAAAATATGCATTCCAAAAATCTATTGAAAACAAACTTTATAAAAAGTTTGTTTTTAGGTTTTTATTTAAAAAAACTTTATTATTTTAGAATTTTAAATATTTTAAAGTTATAAAATACTCAAAATAAAACACAAATAAAATAAGTCTTAAAGGAAATTATTTTGAACATTAATATTTTACAATTGGAATGAGTAGTTCGAAAACTTTGATTTTTCTAATGATTTTATATTACATGAAACTCTTTTAAATAAAGTATATATCCTAGCTTTTCGAATCTGTAAAATACAGGTCTTTACCAGAACTTCTATTTCTATACATACCTATTCCACACCAATTATTTCTATACCTATTCCTTATTTACTTTAATACTTTTAAGTAAAATAATTTTGTTCTGAAAAACAGCAAAAAAATAGATAGACTATAAAACGCTATGGAATCGCCCACAAATTATGCAACGCTAATTTTGAAAAAAGTAGAAGATATCTTCAGTTCTTTAGGGAGGCGATTTTCATTAAATTTAATAAGCTGTATAGATTTTCTATTTAACATACGACTCTGCAAGGAAAAATTTTGATCATTTTTGTTTCCTTCAATTGTAAAATTTAGCGTTGAGTAATTTATGGACGATCCTTTGTTTTAAAGTTTAGATAAAAGATCAGACAAAAATTATATAAAGCCAAAAAATTATAGAGTAAAATGCTATTTTGATGGTTATCTAAATTGTCGTTATTGCACACTTGGTTTTGAATGTTTAAAATGGGGGTGTGGATTAATACCTGTATAACTCTAAATTTCCTTATTGTATCAATATTAAATAACTTAACCTTTTATTTATTTTTAAAAGTAATTAATTTAATAAAATGGTTTCATTTAAATGTAAAATTAAAATTTTTAATTGTGTTTTAATAAAAAACATACTTTTTTAACCTCCGTACTATTTTGAAAAAGTTAAGTTCGCCGCGTGGCAAGTTCAAATCATCAGCTCGCTTTATTTTTAATTTTTGTTGTCATGACCCTTAAAATATGGGTCTTGCTAATGTATTCCAAACTGACCTTTTCTATACTAAATCCTTACTTCAATATATTTGAGTAAGAGGTAGGAAAATAACTATACAAAATAAAAGAGACTATACTCGTTGTTTTTATTTTTAAGCTATAAAAAAATTCTATCGTAAATAATTTTAAAAAACATGAGATAATTGAAATATGTGGAACAGACTTACCATGAGCCGTTTGAATACTGGTCATAGTAAGTCTATTCCACACTGACCGAATATCAATAATTTTAAAGAGATAAATATAAAAATCTTTGTTTTGATATAACCATAAATGTTCAAAATTCTATAACTTCAACAAATTTCTATTTTATAACTTCAACAAATTTCTATAAAAAAAAAAACAAAAAACAGGACAGTGGTTATTTTTTCTCTTTAATAAGTTTCTAATTTTTTTTCGAATCAGCAGCTTATCAGGACTCTTGCCCTATTAATTTTAAAGAAAAATCATTTTTCTTTAAAATTAACAGGGCATGTAAAATATTTTCCAATAAGATCTAAAGTTGTCCCTTTAATGCGCAGACTTTACTAATTACTAAGCACATAAACAACTTAAGTATCGTGATATAAGCTCAACAAATTTTAAACGGTGTAATCACGTTTTTAGAAATTTTAAAAGCTTTTTAAAAAATTCTAAAAATTCAGAGTGATTTTTATCTACTACTCACTCTCCTCCTTAACATATATGTATATATAAAAGGTGGGGGATGCTTTTGCCCTAAATTTGAACCCACACCTTGTGAGATCTGGGCCATCTATTTGTTCTTCAAAATGCTAAAAAGGCATTGTAAGATGTCTAAAATGAAACAAAATTAAATTTATGACATGAAAAAAGAAAAAAAGATTGAACAATCAAAATCTGTAAGAAAAAAAAATTACTCATAATAAAAATTTTTTTTAATTATAAGAAAAAATTTCTTATAATTAAAAAAACAAAAAAAAAAGAAGTTATTTGACCAGAAAATAAAATTATCCTTATCTTGTTTGCAATAAAAACTAATTTCTATTCAAACTATTAGCTAATGATCAACATAGTAAACTTAAAATAGTTAAAGCTTACTGAGTTAAAACCATGTTTTAACAGTAGACAAAGTAAACATATAAACATATAATAGTCTGTGGAGCACCAGAGTAGAACTTAAGAAATAGAATAACAACTAAATTTAAAATGTTTTTAATACATAATACTTGCAGTTAAAAACATAAAAAATAACTCAACCTTCACAAGATAATGAAGGTAAAATTGTTAAATCAAACAAAAAATAGAAAATAATTGTTAAAATATCAATTTTTTCTTAACTATGATACTTTTAATGAAAAACAATGTTCTTGAACAGATAAGGACACAACGATAAAGAACATATCTTTCATATTAAGTTTATTAAGTTTTTTAAAGGTCATTAAAGTTATTTCATATTGCAAGTATTTAATAAACCTATAAATACCTGTAATAACTGGTGATTATGAAAATTAATTAAGTATTCAAATAATTATTAATGACAATATATTATTTTGACATGGAGAATCATAAACACTGTCACAGCAGCTCTTGAATCATTCCAGTATTTTGCATGTTTTGTTGACTTAAATTTTGATGGTGTTTAGTGTAAAAACAAAATGTAAAACTTTCAACATATTTTTTTGTAAACATAGCTCTTTTTAATTTTCAATTTTTAACTTAATATTGAAAGAAAAAAAAATTGGTATTTATGAAAGAATATATTTATCTACAAACAAAACTTAAAAAATAGATCAATAAAAATAAACATATAAAACTAAATACATTTAAATACCTCTTTTATTTGTAGATGTA